GGCTATTCCTATTGTTGCGGACTCCTTAATGTCGCCTATGTTAATATATTCCATACTTACCTTACTACTGATTGCAATTATATGGCTTGTGATCGGGAAAAAAATATGGAATATGTGGAGCGCTAAGCCGAAAGAAAGTGACCGATACTTCACCTACAAAAAATATAGAAATAGGCCAGATATTTATCATCTCAAATCCTAATCAACTACCGTATAAGTACTGGCGCGAGCGGGACTTCTCTGAATCTTCTTTGGATGTAGGCTAATACCTTTTTTGATAAATCTTCGGGCAGATTTATTAATATTTTTTTAGCTTGGGCCAGTGTACATGCAAACAACCATCCAATATGGATCCGGTTACCTCCCTTACTATTATAACCGTGTTGTAGTAAATATTGATAGTCATCCATTACGATATCTCTCATCCCTTCCTGATCCGCTATTATTTTGCGAAATAACCATCTATCATCTTCTGTGATCGGGATATGGATTTTGTTGGGTTCGAAGCCTATGTACTGGGAAACTTGGTCACGTAGTTCGGCTATTATACCAATAAAGCTTATCTTTAAAATATGTGGATTTTTCGGCTGATCGTATCTCAAGGATACGGTTTTGCCAAATTAAAATACTAATGATCATCTTCGGGCATATCTGAGGCCGGGCTATATGATCGGAGGCCGGAATATTGGAGTGGTCATCCTAGGCGCGCTTGTCGCTGAAGTTCGGAGATAGAAATTGAAGTTAGCCGGTATTATTGTACGAGAAAAAAAAAATATATAAATATTATTAAATGACTAAGTTTTTTAGCTGAAATTGCCACATCCCGCTAAGAGTACTTATTCATATAATTCGATGATCTCGTCTATATCCGCTTCGGACGAATCATCGAAATACCTAAAAAGTTCATTGTAAGCCTTTTATATATTTTTTAAGCCATTTTGTTGCCTCATCCTGGGAATATTTGTCGGTCTGCTTTTCCTTTTCATCCAAATATTTAAGTTGCATAATTTTATGTGAAGGTGGTGGTTGGTATCTATCATCCTTATTGATAAAGCGTGCGCACATTCTAACCGTAGTGCCTAAATAATAATTGATATCTATTTCTATGTTTTTCTCTTTTGCTATACCCGCATACTCCATATAATCCCCAACTCTATATGGTATTAACTGGCCTTCCTCACTACGAAGGCGGGGACCCTTCACAACAACATAACTAAAGCGTTCGCCGGGATCAGGAATCCTCTCATTTCTCTCTCTCATACATTTCACAAAGCGATTGTTGCAGAGATTATTTTTCTTAGGCTTCCATATACCCATTACGATAAATTCATTGAAATCCCATTCCTTGTTCCGGGCTTCTCTAAGAGTATCTTCAACAATATCGTGAATTGAACGTGTATTATTAATATCCATAGCCTCTCTCATAATCTTCTCTCCGATGAATTTGAGAAGCTGGGATTTACCTTGCTTTACAGTATCAATTCCTTTCTTAAAGAGATCATCTGGTCTAAAGTTTACTTCATCTTCATACCCAATTCCAAAGTACTTTTTTTTGCCAGTAAAGCAGACAGGAAATAATACCTTTTCGTAAGCCATCTTAAGATAAGATGTGCTGGTTTTTATCCTAAGATAGGCATTAATCTGATCGCGCAACTTTTTTATTACATCCATAGTAATTTTGACCATTTCGGTCCAGTACGCTTCTTTAGAAAGTTCACCTCTGGAAAAGGCTTCATCGCATTTTTCAAAATACTTATCTGAACATGTAAGATACAAAGAATTAGTATCCCCGTATTTGATTCTAAAGCCTTTCTTTTTCACATATTCTGCAACGAGTTTGATAATGTATTTGCCAGCGGAAGTAGTTCCTCCGGCCAATGCACGGAGAAAGATTAAAGATAATGGGTTTCTGGCCTCTCCATAAAAGGTATTCATAAATAACTTTACAGCTTTCTGCTTTGAATCCAAGCAGTCATGTTTGAAGCAAAGAGTTTTATATTCTAAATCTAACTTCTCAGGGATTCTTTTACCCTTTTCTTTCAACGAACTTATTATCTTTCCAAGTTGAACCTTCTTCTTTCCTAATGAGGCAAGTTGCGCTTTAAGTTCTAGTCTCATCGCAGATAATTCCTCTAATACGGTCGGGTATAAACCTTTCTTCTCAGATCGATTATCATGTCTTACGCACCAAGCTTGAATAGTGCACTTATTGAATGGAAAGCTAATCTCGTGTAAAGTGTTCCCATTCTTTTTTATAATGACAGCCTCCTCTGGATTAAATATAAATTTTTCTGGAGAGAGGTTATAGGCCATAATAAGGCTTGGATATAAAGATGTAAAATCCAATCCCGTTACCGGCCTTTTCGTCTCGATACCTTTTTTAGGTGGAAAAACATATGCACCGGGATACTTACCCTTTTCCACCTTTTCAGGAATCCTTGCATTAAATAACATATCACGCTTAAAAGCATAAGCGCCTAGAAAGTTTCGTACCTTCATTCCATTTGCGCGATAGTGTGTGTCGAATAAAGATACATAAGCTATAGAAACGACTTCTCTGTATTCATTTATTTGACTTAGCTTTACCAAAAGCTCCTGGCAACGCAGTGCATCTATAATACAGTAATATGCTACTTCCCGCATTTTCCTTGCAGTTGATGGGGACGGGTCCTTTTTCGCCTCTGAATAGGTTTTCCACATTTTATTGTATGGCATGTCAACTTTAGCGTCAAGACCGCATTTTTGTAAGAAGAATTTAAGTGAGCCTTCCTTTTCGACTTCAGAACGGGGGTAACGCTTTTTGAGGCAAACTCTAACGTCAATTGGTACACATCCTGGCAGTTTAAGGAAGCTGGAAAAGAAATTATCTTCCGCAGAAATTTTGATCTTAATCGGACCGCCCAGAAATTCTTTGACTTCCGTATCCTCCTCTCCATTCTCAAGAATGTGAAGAGTATTTTCACTATCTCTGTCCTCACTATTCTTTTTCTTTTCTTTCTTCTTAAAAGTATTTTCGGATTTCGCTCCTATCTTTCCACGATATTTCCACTTTATAATTTCTTCCTTTGTTTCAAACTTTCCTGTCATCCGCTCCCATATCCATTCGAGAATGTTGAGATGATAGGCTCTTTCCATAATGAAACGCCAATCATAGTCTGAATCGTTAAACCCAACTTGGATGTCAGGGGCAAATGCTCGCCAGCAGAGAGCGAATGCCTTTAGCAGATTTTCTTGGTTTCCACATACGATTGTGGTCCAGCGTGGATCTGGTTCTGTCTCAATGTCGACAAGACATATTTGCTTTAGCGGTTTTGGATCATCTTTCCAATGCAGTGTCATGCAAATCATAAAGACATTTTGTTTCAGATTAAGGACTTCGGCAAATTCACCCAACTCTTGTGATTGCGTTTCTATATCCC